ACTGAACACAGAATTGCCAAGAATCAAGTATATTCTTTTAATCCCACATCCAAACTGGATTAGATCCTTCTGACAACATGAAGTAACCCATCAAAGCTCAAAGGGGTTACAATATCAGTTTTAAAGCTTTAAGACTCCATCAGAACCATTTTACTACAGTTTGAGAATCCAACCCTCATACCTCTGCTTTATATCTCCCCTGTCTCTCGTCACTATTTCCCGTCAGCATACTGTCAATTGAAAACAACTGATGCCAAAAAGACAAAGAAAGAACAAACTTGTCTCACATTTACATATAAAATTATTATTTCCAAGACTTTTAGGATATATATATTCCAAGGATCAATGAGCCGAAAGCAAACCTTTATGTAAGAGTAGTGTCCAATTACATCGAGTTTGTAAAAAAGCATTTCAGAAACATCACAGCTACAATTAAACATGGTAGTGGTAGTGTGATGGTCTGCGTGATGAGCATGTACTGTTGACTCACAGTAGGACCTGCACAACTAAAATCTCCAAAAATGTTTTATAGTTATGTGTGCAAAATAGGGTAAAAAGCTGCAGAAATAAATTGCTCTGATTTGTATCATAGGTAATGCATGATCTGAACACATACAGTTTATGCATTGGAAGCCATTTATTGCTAACAATTGTTAGCTAAATTGCTAAGAAGCACTCGTGGAATATTTCAGTGGCTTTGCAATGTGGATTATTCCCAGATTTACCTCATCATCAAAAACAGTGCAACAACCAGGGATAAAGCCAAGCCTTATTTTAACAGAACATGTGGCTGCAGCTCAGAATGCTTTATTTCATGTACATGGCCTAAATAATACATAACTGTGATCATATCAGCTCCTATCCTTGCTTTTCCGACTTAGAGCTAAGTATTTCCTGCTGACCTCATGCAGCAGGATGAGTTAAAGGTCAAATTGTGTAGCATTTTCACAGATTGATTACCCTATTATTGTCGTCCGCTAACTTCCTCATCTGTTAAGTGTATTTTTATAAACAAAGAAAAGACATTTAATCATAATCCCAAATATTTAATTTATATTTCTGCCCCAAAATATTGTGACATATATTTTACACTGAAAGGAGAGCTTTAATTCTGGCAAATATCCCTTATGTGATTAATTATTTTGATGCATTTGTTTCTAACCGGCCCTCTGCAGCATTCTCCATGCAGATCAATAGCAGGGTTTCTGCTGCTTTGCCTCTCAGGTTCCCTGTAACGTGATTATTCTCTTTTATTATCAAGACAAGGCTTAATGAATGTCAGAGCAATCTAGTCTGCGTGTGCGCATGTGTATAAAAATGTAAATGTCGTTGTGTGTGTGTGAGAGAGCGTTTGTGTGTATGATCCAAGGAAACTGCAGGTCGGTGATATAGGGAGCACCATGAGGGTTTTGCACTGTAACTGGTTGAATACATTAAAAAAACCAAAAGAAAAAACAAGACTGTTGCTGGAACTCATTTAGTGTTAGCAGCAGACAGGTTGAACCTTTTTAGCAGTTTAATGAAAGTCTATTAGTGCCACCTGGAGGTGATGAAAAGGGTCATACATTTATTTTATGGGTATAATCTAAGTGTAATCTGCCATGGTTTTAGGAAACTATATGAAACAATTTACAATATTCCAATGAAGAAAGTCTGTTTTATTGTTAGAGGTTACAGGAGAGCAGCAGCTTCCTTAATCTGGAATGTTCATTCTGCATAAACACAAATCAAAGGAGCACAGTAGACATTTTAGCTTTCCGTCTCTCTGATTATGGATAAGAATATGGATATATGGATTATAATTAAGAATGTGGATAATAATGCATGGTGAAAAGTCTCTGCTCAAACTCCTTAAGAAAATGACTTTTTAGCTCCTGGTAGGAGATTGTTTTTTGGATCAACATTTCGGACACTTGCATCTTTATTTTTCAACCTGATGTTCTAAAAAAAGTTCCCCTTCTTCTACTATAATAACAGACTTCCATCTCCAGATAAGATGTTTAAAAATCAATCCTGTTTGCCAAATATATTTGCACACATGCACACTACTTGACTTAGTTTAATGAATGAATTATAAGCGTATCAGTTCTTCTACAAAATTGATAGATTTTTATGTATTTGATTATTAACATACGTACATTTTGTAATGTTTAATTTTGGAATATGTATTACCTCCAAATTCTTACATTAACTTTTGTTTTTTTTTCTTCATTGTTTATCTGGAATTCCAATTTTCTTTCTTGCAGAAGGAGGAAAGTTAGAAGCTGCATCTTTACTGTGGTTTTAATAAATGTTTCAACCTGAAATTTTCCCAGGAGGTCAAAGCTCAGAGAGATTCCATTTATTTAGCAACAATCCTGTAACAGCGAATGTTATTGTAAAAACCCTGTACAGTAAAATACTCTGTTTTATTTTCCTGTTATTTTTATACACTTTTCTAAGGTGCACATTGTGTGACCAATTCTACAACAGTTGCTGCTTTAAACACCACAATTTCCCCATTTAGGGAAAATAAATGAACAATTAAAAAGAACAAAATGCTTTATGGTTTTCTGCACAGGCTGGCTTCCCATTAACTTATAAATAATAAATAAATAATAAAGGTGAAACCTGTTATCAGAAGAGACATGAAGAAATACTTATTGCAGGTTTTCTTCACAGCAGAAACAAAACAGGTCTTAGGTCTTCGCTGATTACTGTAGTCAATTCTCTCCCTCAGTCATCCTGAGGGTACCGTAAACTGGACTACATTTGTGCTTTTTTGAATACATTCTGCCTTTAGGTTCTGTTGATTGACCAGAGATTGCAGCAGGATGTAGTCAGTGACTGACCAGATTATCCGTCAAAGCCTTAAGTCTGAAGAGAGAGCCAGCCAAGCATAATTACAAATAAAAACACATAAAAGTTTTTCACACTTTAAGAGAAAAGACAAACTATGTAAAAAAAAAAAAAAAGGAACATTTTATTAAATCAGCCTAAATAACATTTAGTTTAGAAGGCTCAATCAGTTCATTTTGAAGATTGGAAGGAGCTAACATTGTCAAAAGTATTGAAACTCTGATAAATATCAATATTCTGTATCCGGATACCTGGCATGCTAACCATACTAAGTACAAGTGTTGTTTGGATATTTTTGCTACTTTTAATCTTAGATTTTTTTTCTTTCACATTAAAAGAATAATACCTTAAATAACCTTAAAATATTGTTAAGTTGCGTTACAATTGGGTTATTTACTTTGCATTTATTTGCAAACTCACTAAACTAATAAAATCTGTGATTGTGCTGAGAAAAAAAGCTCCATGTTCAGATTGACAAAGGTGAGTTTTTTTGATAATTAAGATATTTTTATGCTGCTAATTACCAAATTCAGTCAACAAAAGAGATGGAAAGATGCAGATTATTCTGGGAAAAGAAAGTATACCAGTTAACATGTCTATAATGCACAGATGCAGATCAGCAGAAGTCCTATAAATGATTTGTAAATTAAATGTAACCAGAAAGGAAAATCTGCAGACAGTCACACCAGGCCATCCCACTGTCTGCCTCGTCCAACAAATAAAATTTGCAACAAACCAGACCGTTTTTAGCAGTACAGAAAAATATATATATATATTTGAAATAAAACTGTAACTTAAGCCTCTTCATAAGATTCTCCATGAGAGTAAGGAGGAAGTCATAAATCAAAATGACCAGATATTTATATCTGAGAACAAGCTGGATTTCATTTCCTGCAGAAAGGAACAGCAAAGGGGTCTTCTGAGGCCCCTGAACCTGGAAAAAAAAACATAACTTTTTCTACATTGATAAAAACGTGTCAAATTTAGTAAAGAAAAGCTATGTTTTTCTGTAATAGTTCAGTGGTCTAATAGGAGGCGGTTTGGTTTAATAAAAAAGATTTTAAAAAACAGTTTAATCCTCAGAGATCATTTTCTGTCCCTGCTATAAAGCTGATAGGAAGAGGACCTAACCCTGCAGCAATGCACACTTTTTATTAGTGAGGCACGTCATCCCTTGCTACCAAAATCAAAAGGCAAAGTATGAGTACCAAGAAGTAATGATCTACTTTATGAATGAAAGGATGAGCTGTTAGGAATGCAAGATAATAAGATGAAGGGGATTTTGTGTCATGATCTTGGCACCAAAGGCTGGGATTTACCCTTTTTCCTCTTATCTGTTTTGCTCCGCCCTGCGCTCATTATCACTTAATAGAACCACCTGTTTCTGCTGCTATTTAAGCCTCCATGTCCCAGCCATTGGTGCCAGATTATTCAACCCCCTAGCAAGACTAATATTAGTGTTCCTGTTTGTAATATGTTCTGCCTGTTTCTGCCATTGGACTTCTAAGTATTGGCTACCCCTGTTCTGCTCTTTTTGCCTGTCCTGTGTTTCTGAACTATTACCTGGGTTCCGCCTTCTGTCGACCTTGGACCTGTCTTCTGACCATGGCGTGGATGATCCTCCTGGTTCCTCTGCAGGCACTGGCTGCTGCAAGACGGTGCTCCTCTTTTCTCCTGGATCTCTCAGTAACGAACAACAGAGTTCAGCTCCTCTGGATTACACTCCTTCTTCTGGGCACAGACTGAACTTTGCCAGTTTCCAGTGAGCCAGACGAGCAGCAGCACGCTTCATTGAATAAATGCCTTTTAAATATATCATATGCATAAGTTCTGGGTCCAACGTTCTGAGCCTCCTGACATTTTGTTTTATTTTTATAAATCATCGGTATCTTCATGAACACCAATGACAGAGAAAAGCTTCAAATGAAAAAAGCTACATTAGAACAAGCTCTACTGGATTCAGATAAAACACTAATCCGAAGAAAAAAAAATGCTTGTTGCTTGTTCATATCACTTTAAAAGATATGGATAAGAATAAAGGTGAATACAACTGGTCAGACTTTGATCCTTCTCGTTTTAATTTCACAATCTGAAATCATCAGGATGTTGTTTCCAAATATCACCTTTTCATTCAGAACAAAAAAAGGTCAACTCAAGCTGAGTACAGTGTAGCTAAAACGCTACAATCTTTAATAAAACATCACACAGGAAGAGTCATTACAACTTCAACAAATTTTCACAGTTTTTCAGCTTTGAGTGCTTCATTCACAGGAGGAATATTTACATCAGGATAGATATAAAAACAGAATCCATTCATGAACAAAGTGTAGAAAAGTCTGAGAAACAAAGTAACCGAATCAGGATTCAGTCACTAAACACTAAGATGATATTTTACAGGATTCTTTTACACAAGAATCTCCGAGCGGGGTAGTTAGAATGATACGTTTCTAAACAATAACTGTATATATCATGTCGTACGCTAATGTTTGATAATAAATTAGAGCAGTAAGGCGTGATAAAGGAGCTGCATGGAGAAAAAGTGGGATTAAAAGAGTTTTTGTTTCCATTCAGTGCTTTAAAAATGATGTCTACAGCTTCATGTGATACAGTTGATAGCCTGCACATAGGCAAATAAATAAAAATAAACTAAAAACTGCTAAGAATCTGACCATGTTATGAAATTAAGGCACATTTAATCATTTCTGCATCTTGTCTACAGAGACTTCTCCATATGTAATAAGCAATCGGACCACTTGGGGGCGATGTGAAGGTACATCCTAAATGAAATCAAACACTTCTCCTTCAGTTTGCCTCCAGCCTGTCAAGGTTCAGTTTTATTTTGATCCTTGTGTTCAGGTGGAAATTCATTTCCTCTTTTTTTTAATGCTGAACCTATAGATTCAGCTAAAATGATGACTTTATTCCAGAGGAAGGGTTCCCTCTCTTTATTTTCTTTTTTTAACTCCATCAATGCACTGGCATCCCAAAACTGAGGTTCCAGTTCTGAAACTCAGAGGAGGTGTGCGTTCAAGTCGTACTTTTCGCAGAACTTGTCTGTGACCGGGATGCAGGTGAGGTACTCGCACCAGTCACATTTTACTGGATACACATAGAAAAGGACGGCCAGGGTGGAGAGCAGGCCCAGGAAGATCAGCAGGAAAACGCAGATCTGGACCCTCTTTCGGTACATGTCGGAGCGTCCGAAGCTAAATGTTTAAAATACAGAGAGCCATGAACAGGAGTAAGGTATCCCCCTAAACGCTCCTTAAATGTTTGTTGAGTTCACTTACCTGATGTATGGCAGGAAGGCAAATGACAGGAAGAATCCTGACACAAAGCCGCAGACGTGGGCAAAGTTATCGATCCATGGAAGCAGACCGAAGGAGAAGAAGAAGACAGAGATGGCAAAGAGTTTAGCAAACGCCCGCCATGGGCGCTCCAGGATCTGCCAGCTCTGAAAGAGCTCCACAAACAGACAGGCCAGGATGCCAAACTGGCTGCCTGCAGGACCCACCTGGAGGAGGAGGATGAAACAAGTTTTAGGGATCCACCAAACATAAAATCTGTCCAATTTTCCAAATTCAGCAATGCATTGTACTATATAACAGTGATGTGACAAATTAAATAAAGCTTAACAATTCCTTTCTCTTCAGTGTGACAAACCAAAACAAAGCTGAAAGTCATGTTGAAAGAAAAGAAAAACATGTTTAGGAAAACTGCTGCTCGAACCTATTGGTTCTAATACCGAGAGACAAAGACTTTTGCTGTCAGATATCAGATATCTAATTAGTGATCAAATTTCATCTTTATGGAACACAAATTTAGCCAAACTGCAGCTCATCTGTTTCCTCGGAGGTTCTTATAGAACATTAGAGAGGAACAAGCATCATGGAGACCAAAGAACCCAGCAGACAGAAAGTTCTGGTTCAGTGTCAGCAGGGATAGGCTCTAAAAAATCTGTCAAATGTTTAACATTTCCTAAAGCTTTGTTCAAACAATCATCTGAGGATGGAGAAAAGATGGACCACCTGCAGACCTGCCAACAAACAGATGTCTACTGTTAAAATAATTATCACTGATGTACGAGTTTATTACACCTTAATATTAGCTGCCTGTTGTGTGTCTGAACTGATGTTTTCCACAATAGTTTATCTAACTAAGACAGTTCCTTATTGTAGGAAAACTAAAGCTCTACATCAACATTCCCACATTGAGACATGGGGATGTCAGCATCATGCTCTGGGACAGAGAAGCAGGTCAGAGTTTATCTCAAGAAGGATGAAGCTAAATCCCTGGATCATCCTGGACATCCAATCAGAGATATAATGATCCAGGCAGATTCAGGTATTACGATGGTCTAGTCAAACTTCAGGCTAAATCTGACTGAATGGTGCAGCCCGTGGAGCAACATGGTTTAAAAGTTCTAACAGGAAACATTTCCTTGGTGTTGGTTTGTGGAGGGTTGTGGTTACAATAGACAAAGATGTCAAAATGAGGCGCAGTTTACAGACTAGTACCTCTGCTCTGTAGGGAAGGAATATAGCAGAGGCTAAGTTGCCTGTGATGCCGCTTAACATGTAGATGATGGAGATCCTGAGCCAGCCAGCCAGCTTCTCCAGGTCTCTCAGCACGGTCATCTGGAATAACACAGACACCAGGCAATGCAGGACGCTGCAGACACACAAAGACACATCATTCAGCTTCAGGTTTGGTTCCTTTTCACTAAATTTAGTGTCGTTGCAGATAGTGAGTTCAAAAGAGAACTGTTCAGAGACCCAGCATGAAGAAAGAGAGACAGCCACAGCCTGGAGAACTGATCGGGGACCTCTGGGTTGAGGAAGGGTAGCAAACCACAAACATCATCCATACAGGCCACCTGGAAGACAGAATGAAGAAGAAACACCAGCATACATAGAGGCATCAGTGATGCATTAAGACCTGCAGAGCCAAGCTCCAGTTGCGAGTTAAAGCCCCATCAGGAGCGTTTTGCGCTTTTAAAACCAAGGAGCTGTTACTATGCATTGAAGGGAAGAAGACAGAGAGTGACTGGATCTACCTGTGAGCAGAGTGTAGCTTCCTCATGAAAATATCCGTGCATAAAGTCACAGTACTCTCTGGAAGTGATTTCACATCTGCAAAACAAAATTCATGCTTTACCCTCCAGCTGCCATCAAACAGGACAAATAAATCCTCATTATTTTTTAAAATCCTGAACCAGGAAATGTGTCGAGCACTCAGGAAAAAAACTGGCATTCTGTTTTCTTTTCACATTGAAAACGAGATGTTTCAGCTTTAGCTCGCTCCATTCTCACCGTCCTTTAGTCCCGATGCAGCAGGGCCGGCCTGTGATGCTGCAGTCTATGTGGGGGAGGTTGGTGTGGTTCCCAGAGTTGAACTTTGTGCAGATCTACAGATACCATCAGAAGAACGGCCAAAATGCTGTGACTGAAATCCTTTTTAAAATCTAGCATTCAGGTTACTTCAGTTCCATCTAGAAACAATATTTTATAATTCTCTGATCAAAATATAAATTTTATGGGAGCCTGTTGCCTTTACTAAGAGGTTACAAAACAGTAACTAAATAATAGTAAAGCATTTAAGGCTGAAATTTCTGGCTCTGGGACCTACCGGCCATCTTGTGATGTCATCTGACCACTCATGAGGGAAAACTGAGGCCGGTTCCTGACAAATTCTGCACATGCAACAGAAAAAGGAAACATTACAGTAATATCTGCTGGTGATACAGATATAAAACCTTCAGCAACCAGGCTACAGTCATAGTACAACGTAATTATCCAACAATACACAACAGATAAGACATCTTAGATCAAACAAGAGGTAAAATAAATAACTGTTGCATGATTTAACAGGTGATTCAGCAGCAGTTTTCCACCTGTAATCATCGGATGTGGGACGGGTTCGATTTTCTCTGTTAATACCATTACAGTTCTAACAACACCTTGAAATAAGAAACTGATTCCTTCTTATTTAGACATTTGTAGATTAGCTGCCTGTTTGTGAACGTTGTCCATTTGATAACGTAGTTTGGACCAAGCTTCAGAGGAACCCATGGTCAGCTCAAAGCTGGCAGCAAAACAATTCTAAATCATACCTCCGCTACCGTGCCTGACAGTTGAAATGAGGCACTTGATAAAACATGAATTAGTTGAAGCTGAAACTTTGTCTGTTATGATTACAGAGAAGAACTGTCGCATTATAGTGAAAACCCGCCTCTTATGCTTAAATTAATCTGGTCAGGCTGTAGATACTGGCCATTTGTACTAATTAGACCTGCCACCAGAGGAGCACTTTTAGAACTTGATTCAGCTGGTTTCTGAACAAAGTACCAGCCAGCAGTACAGTTTTTCCAAAAGATGTCAATCATGCACCTTAACATCCTCATATCTAATAATCCACAGACGATCTCCAAGCTCCCTTTTTTTTTTTTTTTTTTTACCAAACTCATTAAAAAGTCAGTAAGGAACTTTGATGGCACATTTCGCTTATGGTGGATTTTTAAACCTCCAATTGCTTGTAATTTCTCCTCTAGGGATATAGTATCCAAATAAACCCCCAAGAATTTAGAAAGGATTCAGATTTATTTTTAATGTTACTGTCTGGCTATAGGTTTACCTGGGATCCTGATGGCAGACTGAACCATTCTGGCGTAGTTTACCATTTAAATATGGAGCACTGGGGTGTTGAGGCCACTTTACCCATACTGCCAGGGTACTCTGCAGGCAAACAGAAAGTGGTGTTTTATTGGATGACTGGATGAGAAGGGTGACTGAAATGATCAGAAGCCGGTTTTACTGACTGAACACTCCTCCTGTGATGTCTGCAGGCAACCAGAGCGATCGTTTCGAACACAGCAGCCCGATTCTCTCTCTCTTGCTTTTGTCTCCTGGATCAGTTTTTGGATCTCTTCATCTTGACGCATGCAAGGGGAAAACTTTGCCCCCAGGTGGATCAGCGCCTCCTGCAGTTAGAGAAATGATGAAAAAGTGATGAATGATGAAAAAAAGTTTGGTGAAAAAAAGAGGAATAACTTAAAATCACCTTTAGATGGTTAACTATGCAAGAAGAGCTTAATATAACAATCCAATGGATTTTCTTCTGCTTTACCTTATATTCACTGAAGGTAACCAATGTTTGGAATTCAAAACTCAGTTAGAAATAACAATAAAAGCAAAAACTTAGAAAAATTAAAGGACAGAGACTGAAAAGTTCTGTCACATTAAATAATAACTATTAGAGGAAACATAAAACGGGCCTCTAAGCAATAACAACAATAAACAACAATAAATTACTTTTCTATTGACTGGGCGGTTCATAATGTTATCATAAGTTTGACCCAATATTTTTTAAGGCAATAAGTACATGTTTCTAATTTTTAATCCACCGGAGGCCTTTTTTGGCCAAATAAATAAAGGAGACAAGAGAGCCCTGCAGAGGCTTCAGGTTCCATGTTGGCCCAACAGAGGGCGCTGCTCTGTAGTATAAATGGAGAGTACAGAGTGGAAAGCAAAGAATGTGCTTTACAAGGAAAAAAATGAATGAATACATCCACTCAAAGGTAATATTTTAATAAATACTTTAGATAATTACTGCTATTACTGCTCAATCTCTGATTCATGACCTAACCTATAATCTAGCTGTGAATAAATATCTGATGTGAATGAATCAGGGGATCTGTGTAAGTTAGTTGTAGGCCTATGAAAAAATTATTCCAAATCAATTCAAAGATAAACCTAAATAAACATTCTTACTTTCCTTGTCATTGCTTTACATTGTAAATTTAAATAATTAAGTCTCTAGCAATTTCTTCTCAAAAAGTGTGATTTTGATGGTCATGACGAGCAGAAATGTCCTTCCCAATTTCCAGTTTTACCCACTAATAAGCTCAGAGCAGAATAATCTTTCTCAGTGTCAGAGCTAAATGAGTGGTAGCGTTTCCAAGGGGCTCGTTAAATATGTGGCCGTTTAATCTACCACACATGTAGCATTAGCACTAAGTGGTATTTTAGATACAAAGGCGTTCTTGGAGGAAGAGCCGACCCGACAGCAGCAATGTTCTAGAGCTTGCTAATATAAAGCATGCTTGCGGATTAGTGTAGTAGGGCCCAACATGGACCAGAAATAAGGCTGGGGATGTGTTATTTTTCTGTTTCTTAACAACTGAGTTGTTTCTTAAAGCTTTAGATAAAGTTGTCTAAAGCTTAGTTTAAACAAGTTTATCTAAAGTTTTTATTACATTTTCACTTCTTAACAACATTTAGATACTTCAGGTTTTATAAGTTCTAATATTTGTGCCAAATTGCATAATTAAATTAAACCTTTGAGGATGAATGTTACATTTAGCATGTATGAAATATTTTCATATATATAAACAAAAAGATTTCTGCTCTTTTTGTTGTTTAAAAGTATTTTCAAATAACACTTTTGAGAGTTTGAGTCCCATTAAAGCCAGCCCTCCATCAATCCTTTATTATATCCTTTTCTCATAATTTGAAGAGTTTGAACACTTACAGAGCTTGGACCCACCCAGAAGTTCTGTTGTTGCACAAACTTGACGTTTTCATAAACCCCTTTATTTCTCAGCACCTTAAAAAAATAACATTTAGATGAAAATAACTATGTGTGCATAGCCAATAATAGTCGTTATGTGGATTGTTGAAGCTACTTACCGAGTCCACCGTCTCATGCTGGGTGAAGCCTATTGGAGCGATACCGTAAATAGAGACAGCCAGGACGGTGATAAGCAGGTGGACGAATGTGATCCAGTAGGTAAAAAAAGGCCTGAAAAACATAATAAGTCACTAAGTCGGAGTCTAAACTGATGCATCAGCCATTAAAAGAAGAACAGAAATAAAAAGCGATGCCTGTGGTCGTCCATGTCTTCAATCTGCCGTTTTACGAAGCTGTCTAGGCGTTTGCGGTAGGTCCGGTTGGTGAGCCGACCCACCATGCCCAGCCCGTACGGCCTCTTCTCCCGGGCAAACAGTTTCTTCACAGGAACTGTAATCCTCTGTCCTCGCTGCTTTTGGCTGCTTGCACTCACCACCTCCTGCTTCAGACGCACTTTAGGCTGGACTAGAGAGCCATCCTTCGCCTTCCTCCACCCTCTCTCTAAAGGCCTGGATTGAGACGGAGGAGTGTAGATCAGGAAATGGACATTAAATAATATCTAAAGTTCTTTTTGTGACAGTGCAGCATTTGAGCAGATCTTTAAAGATTTCAGAACATCAGCCCACAGCATGAGATGAGTCCTCTCCAGTTTGTTCTTATCCAGGGCACTTCCTGTGAGCACGCTCTCATCCAGCTGTTTCAGGTCCGCCTCAGAAGGTGTCTCAAACACATCGTCAGCAAAACTGGATACTTCTTCCTGGAAAATGTCCTAAATAGGTGAAAAATTTCAATAAGATAAATTGCACCTAATCTCAGACTGAGTTTTGGTAAAAGAAAACTTTCCAAGGCAGCTTTGCAGATTTTAAAACTATGATTTTCTATTTAAAATTGTTAAACAAGAAGAAAAAATGTTTTGCAGCTCTATTGTAAAGTTTTCTGGTTTTGCAGACGACGTCTTTGCGTTACTCACTCTGGTGAAGAACGAGGTGTCCAGCTCATCTGGAAAATCCTCTGTGTCCTCGTCAAAGACGCTGGGAGGCATGAAGCTTCGTCTGCGACTCCTTCCAGCTGCGTTCTCACCTAACGTTCGACCCTAGACGTTACAACGACATACACAAATCACTTCATGTCATCAGGTTTTATGACTTAGAAGAAAGCCCTCCATCCTAATGAGGAAAGCATGGTGGTGGTGTCATTGTTCAAGGAGAGCACTGATGTTTTAAAAATCTTTAACTGTGCATCAATTTATTTAATAAAATACAAATCTACCAAGCATGGAAATAAATATGAGATATTTTACTTAATATAAACACTGAAGCTCTGAAGCCTTAATTATTGTTTTTTTATCTCTGGATTAGTTGCATGTCTAGCGTTTGATTATGAGCAAAACCTGAACACTAGACAATTCCAAAACTTCTCTTGCTTGCTACACATCTGATGCATGTGAATCTATCAACAAAAAACAGTTTCAAAGACCTTGAAAACAAAATAAAACATACTGTGGATATTAGAATCCCTTTATCCCCCCCAGTCTGAACAAAACAGACTGTCATGGGGCCATTATGGTCTGGCTGTTAACCATGACTACTGCACATCCTCTTTCAGAACCTGCTTCTAATGTGAAAATGTTCTGGTCTGGGATCAGTTTCGAGCCTTTAGGTGTATTATTAATGGCTCGCAGAAAAAAAAAAAGTTTCACCAGAAGACATTTTACCTTATTTTGAAATTCCTGCTAGACGACTAGCTAACGTAAATATCTAAGAGGAACAGGAAGGTCACTGAGCTCCTGATCAGCCTCAAAAACATCTAAAACATTTAAGTTCATCATATTTAGTTCTTATAACAGCAATAATGAATTGAACATGCTGTTAGTCTAAAATCGTAAATGCTTTATCATTTTTTAATATATTAATTATAAACGATGCTGCTGTCTGGGTTGTTAAATTAGTTACTCTGATGAGTTTTTAGCTTTATGGTATTTTTCAGGTTATATTTTCTAACATTAGATGTAGTGTCCTTATAGGTTTGCCTTCTGAACGTCCCATTCTGGTTCTGGTCAAGGAGTCAGAGGCTGCCCAGCACATCTGGACATCTCCTAACAGTGATGTCTGCATGCAGCAGCAGCCTCTGAGCGTGAGTGGATTAGCTCTGCTTGTATTTTCTGACCTCAATCCCAGCACAGAGCTGAGCATTCGTTGTGTTTTATCACAGACCATCTGGTGATAGGAACTCCCACTTCAGGCGAACCCGTCCCCCTCGCCGCCCCATCTTACATCCAAGCCTATTCGCATGCATCTGCGGCGAGCTCACAGAGAGGCTCATCTCTACTCTACTGTAACATGTTTTTATCACGGTTTTAATCTCCGGAACACAGATACACACAGGCTGACGTGATGTTTTACATAACGCGCCAGTTCATACAGGAACACACATACTTGGTCGATTTCCAGGAATAAATTACAAAGCAGTTATGGAAATAAAGAGCATCTAAACCAAAGTATAGAGGTTTAAAACTGTTTAAGCATTTTTTAGCATTAAGAGCACAAGCTAATGCTTTATTGGTACACAGTCAGTCACTGATAGGCAGATTGGTTGGTTACTTAGGGAAGACAGGAAGATATATATTAGAGGATGATTTCTCTGCTCACTGAGCCACAGTCCATCCTCTGGATGTAGCAGTGGGACATAAAGGTGATAAATTATAAAATAGATGAGTGAGTTTTAATAAAGCTTTGTACCAGCAGATATCTGAAAAAATTATTAATCAAAGAGGCCGAGAGTTTACCCTTTATTTAAACTATTAATAGAGTAAAAAGTACCCTCATTAGTGCTGCTGCAGCCTTGATGCTCATAACGGCAACCGAATCCCGCTTCCGTCGCCGTGGCAACCTGTTGAGGGCAGAGCGGGAGCTGGAGAAGGAGCAGAGGGACGCTGTGCCCGGTGTGAGCGGAGTCTGCGGCACGCTGAGCCCATCCACCTCTTCCACCACGCGGAAGGCCCGGCCTCGGGCCAGAGGGTCTACGATCTGCACGCAGACACATGGGACGCCTCTGATCAAACACTGCGACAGGAAGCAGCAGCGCAAACATCGACACATATCTGAATTGAGATGGATTAATGTTATTAGCATGTTTGTAAAGTTAAACTAATTAAAAGTCACATGTTTTAACTCTACTCGGGTCGCCCACAGTAAACAAGTCTACAAAGAGGTCAAAACCAAATACTGACTCCTTCCTACATGGCATATCAGTGGCACTTTACATTCAGCCTAAATGTTTGATCGCTTTTTGCTTTAAGATTTCTTAAGAAACATAAGAATTCATTAAAACAATATCTAGTTTTTATTAACTTTTCTTTCATCTACTTTAAACGGAGATGGATCACTTGTCAAGATTATTTCTATTTTTTTTTTTTCTTTGGATTAGTTTAGTTATTGTCTTAAAAATTAACAAAAAAAAAATTTTTTTTAATTGAAGAGCTGCTATTCATCTATAAACACTGTAGATGGAAAACAGGTGCAAAGCTGGTGCAGACTGCCCTGTTCAGATGAGGGAATTGTTCTTGTAGCCGGTATGAGGAGAGCAGAGTAACAATACAAAAAAATGCTTTTTAAGGTGCTAGAAAAAAAACAGTAAAAATATTTTTAAAAGATCATAGAATTTACTTTTTACAGCAGAATAAAGCTCTGAACAACTGGATTAACCTCCAATGAATCTCTAAATAAATATAGAGGAAATATATATCAAAATAAATGTTGCAAACCACAGGAAGCCAATAATGATTTAATAAAACATAACTGTGCTTCGGGGACAGGCTGTAAGGAATATTGAGTAGGAATTTTAAAAAAATCCTTGTTTTCCCCCTCACCTCCAAATGAAGGCTCTGATGTTCTGCAAATTCATGAAGGCACATGTTAAACTTTAACACCTGCTGCTTTACTCTGTGCACCTAGTTAGTAGATCAGCTTTGCACATGCTATCAAATTAATACATGCAAAGTAGTAGTAGATCATGGCCTTTGAGTTTTATGTTTTAACTCTTTATTTAATACAAGTCTTTTGATCATTAGATCTGCTTGGGGTTTTGTTCTGGTTCATTAATCTTCTTGCCCCTTCCTTGTTTCTCAAGGTTTTTTTTTTAAACATACTAAACTTGATGTATAAACTCTGGACTTTTGGGAAAGTAATAGCAAAGTCTTCTTCCAAATTGGAACCATAAATGATTTGGGTAATCCAAATTAAACTCAAGCAGGACATAAAAAAATATATTTGACTTCATTCTATATATATAAGTGTCTTGTTTTAACTGATCTGTTTCGATTAAAACCAAGAGGCAAAATGATGGTGCTATGCTGCACTTTCAGGTCTTTAAGCAATGTTACACCTAGCATCTATTCAAATTATCTTAATAAACTTTTGAATGGGACTCAGATCAATGCAGCTTAAAACATCTATACAGATTTTTAACACAGATTTTTATTTAAAATTATATTCAACATCCTGAAGTTTGCAGATTAAAGATTTTTTACAGTTTTACACCCCAGCTGGGGGGCAAGGGAAAGAAAAAGTGTTGGCAGAAAGTATTAATTCGTAAATGAGGAAGTGAAGAGGGGAGACTGAGGGAGGAAATGTGATGGAGAGGAAAGTAAAAAAAAAAAAAAAGCTTTCTTCTCTGTTAATCCCCAAAGATACTAGCCTACCCACTGCATCCCACAGTGACGCTGGTGACCGGGGTGGTGGGGTGGGAGGTAGAGGGGGGGAGGGGTCTCAGTGCTGGCCAGTGACAGATTGTCCTGGCTGGTCAGCTCCATCTCCCTCATCACCTGGGCCTTCAGCCCCCCGTACAGCTGGCTGCAGTGCTGCAGGCTCCTCCTCCTCCATCTCTGGGTGCTGTCGCTGTCCTTGCTCACTCCGAACCAGTCAGCGGTGCCCCTGCAGCGAGGACACACTTCTATTAGTAAGAATCTCATGCACTGAAGCCTGAATTGAATGCAGAGTAGAAACATTTCTAGCAAATTCGTCACTCCTTCACAGAAGCATGTGGCAAAGGAACTCTAATTTCTGTTATGTATGAAGGAAATTAAATAATATTCAGTGTAGAGCTCAGTTGCGTGTTTATTGCTATTAAAATGTAAAATATAAATTATTTCAAATCAGTGGAGCATTGAATTGATCACTTCAACTCTTTGGCAGAGTCTGTGTATCACTTTAGGTTGAATAGAAACTAAATATTCAATTCAATTTCATTAATTTATATAGCGCCAACTCACAGCACATCATCTCAAGGCACTTTACAGTTCACCAGATCATACAGTCGAATTGATTAAAAGTTTTCTTTCTAAAGAAAACCATTTAATTACATTGACTCATTGACTAGAAGGCAATCCCTCACACTAAGTATGCTTGTAGCGACAGTGGAGAGGAAAAACTCCCTTTTAGCAGGAAGAAACCTCCAGCAGAACCAGACTCAGTGTGAGCGGCCATCTGCCGAGGCCGACTGGAGTTCAAGGAGACAAAAACAGACATACAAATAAAATCCTTCCATAAGTAAAGAAAATTATAAAGAAATAAGGCACATAAATTATTCAACAAAAGGCCACATTCTCCCTACACATTCAAATTTTCTGGGGGGGTTTCAACATTTTGTATGTATTTTATGGGATTTTACATCACAAAGAGAATCATTGCAACAAAGATAAAGGTAGATAATTCATGATTTAAGAATTTGAAGGGGTGTGGTGTGTTTAGGCTCCTTTCCTCTGATACCCCTTAATACAGGTAAATACATCCTAGCCAATGTGAGTATTTGTTTTACTGCTCCTTTTACTTCATTAACCCTACATAAAATCAAGTGCTTCAGAATAAAAATAATTACATGATAAGCTATTTTGTTTGCTTTTTGAGTTCAGTTAAGTTTATTTTTTCAGACATCTTAGGCATAGAAAATACACAAATCAACATTTTTCACAACGTCTGAAAGGAAATTGGCAAAAGTCAAAGCTTATTTCACCCATCCCCACTACATCAGACAAAATTTAGAATTTGAACTAGCTGAAAAATCTATAAAGGATAAGGGATTAAACAATAATAAATGTACAGTACATTTTCACAGTAGGTACCAAAATAGATTCAAAATCATTTCTAACACAATCATATCTAATTATTTTAACCCGTTTAAACAGAACTGTGACTTGGCTCTGAATTTGGTTTATTTCCCAGCAACAGAGATACGATGCTGCTTAACATTTATTTTAAATTTGTATTTTTTTCATATGTCACAACCTGGAAAATTATAAACAAAATCTTTGCTTTGAAACAATCTTTGGATCTTACACTTAAAATTATACATAAAACGTTCAGTTTTACATTTAACAAAGTCTCTAAATGCAAAAGCTTTTATCCTAATAAAAAAATATATATATATCTTTTATAGACCGATTTAATTTACCCCACATCTCTAGGCCATAGTTCATGGTCATTACAAAGACGTGGAGGCCCAACTATTAGAAATGGGATTAACTACGTCCAATAAAACCTGCTGAATTTTGTTGTTGTAACATAACAGCAGTAAAAATAAAGAGGATCAAAACCTTTGGCTGAAACAGACTGTTGAGGGAGAGTCTGGTGATGGAAAAGAAAAGCAGCAATTAGGGAGAAAGAAGGGTCACAGCAGAAAAAAACCCTTCAGAAGAAATGACAGCAGAGAGCCAAACTCCCCTCCATCGTCTGATAAAAGCTGCAGCATCACCTCCTGTTTAATTTCACAGAATGTGGCCAGTTATATCCCATAATGTTTGGAAGCATCTGGGACCTCTTCACCAGCATCAAGAATGTGGATGGATAGAAAAAAAAATTTAAATTATCTCCTTTATGGGCTGTTATTCCTTCTCTAGATCGTCTCACATCCAAGTTAATTACACTCCATGTTTAATAGCAACTGCACAATATGCCGTATTGAACCAGGAGGAGGAGGAGGCCACACATTGGCAGCATGTTTGGAGAGCACAATGTCCTGGGATAAACTCTCAGGACTCAAGCTCAGGACGCCTTTTAAGGCTGAACACAAGGCTGAATAAGGGTGAAGTAGTACAGGGTGCTCCTCCTCCAGAGAGGAAGGTTCCTAAAAGAGACACAGGTTTGGGAAAAGCAAAAGAGAATAACCAAGAAGTTCTTGAAGGAAAGGGAGAAAGAGAGAGCTCTGGTTTCTGGTTGGGGGAGATAAAAGGCTAGATAACAGATTTGTTTGCACTCATGCACTGAAAAACATGAGTAACCCAGTTACCCCTAAACACAGCATTCAGCTCTAAGCAACACTGAACCACTTTAACTAGGGGCCACATCCTGCAGGTCAAACATGTTTTTGTTTGGATAAATGGTCGGGCAGCAGAGGGGGAAAAACTTTCCTCCATCTAAACAGATGGAGCTAATGAACAAACAGGGTATCTGCTGAGGTTTAGCAGCAGTGCATCGTGGGCTGTCAGCTATCAAAGGATTTCTACACACCTCCAAAATTGAGGCGGTCCAGTATTTTACTGTGGTCCCATTTAGCGGAGATGTTGATGAGCAGATGTTACTGTTCAAAACCAGTAAAAATACTAAAAACTGTCTTAAGCACTACCAAACACTGTTCGGTGTAGAAGCTGTTACTGAAGGTTGGTTTAAAGGTTAACCGCATTTAGTGGCAGGTGTTTAAAAAATAAATTCATAGTAAACGTGGTAAATTTTTTAAAGGAAGCTTTGTTTTCTGTGAGATGTGGAGGAGTCTGTAAAAAAGATAACAGGAAGACGGAGTATCCTTCTGCCTTCACAATAAGAGCAAAACTTTAAGGATGATCTTAAAGAGCAAGCTTCTTAAGATCATCAAAATCTTCTCTAAAGAGGAATTTATCAGAAATATTTGCCAAATAAATGGAACACATCTAAATCATTACTTTAAGGTTGAATCATTTTGGTTTTAACTCAGCTCTGCTTACACTCACCTGTCCTGAGACCTCCAGAACGGGTTCAGGGTGTGGGTCATACCTGACAGGTACCGTTCCTGCGGAGGTGAGTCGACTCCATCAGCATCACCAACACAGTAATCCAGTTAAAACCCTGACAAATCCTCACAAATGACACACCCACACTTCCATCAAGGATATCCTGATATCTGAGCCAGTTGTGCATCAGTTAAGACAAAACCTAAAGTATCAGCACCTCCGGAATCTGTTAAATCCAACTCATGTATTTCAGAGATCCTGGTTGGTCAAAAGCTGAAAAGTGATGGTGATCCTCCTGGTTCAGACGGCTCTAAACTTCTACTGCGATCTGTAGGGAACGTCTACATCTCCTCCAGCTGAACTGGATCACTGAGAGCACAGTGAACAAGAGGATCTAACTTCTACTGTTGTCATGAGCTCAGAGCGGGGTCTTCCATAAGGCTGAGTGCATGTGTCAGCAGCTGGCGGACGTCCCAGTGTCTCCTTGAGAATTCAAGCCAAAAGGACCTGACATCTGGGATGAAGATGACAGAAGGTCTGGTTCTCGTCAGCCTGAAAACCCCCAACAACCCAGAACCCCAAAGATCTCTATCAGTGAGGTCATTCTCTCCTTGTTTATGAGGAAAGAGACGTTCTTCTCTTCGAAGACACTGGCACGCCACAGGAAACGGAAGCTTTAGGGGACGGAGACAAGAAGAATCACTGTAGACATTAGGAGGGCACTCAGACAAGCCTGGACTTGCACACAAACACACAAAGGTACTGAAACAGCAGAGACACAAAGCTCCTGGTGGAACTCCTCCTCCTCTTCAGGCTCAAACATTCACGTTGGGTTTTATAAGCAATCAAACTGAGACTCTGCAATCCAAAACAGCTACAATTATGAGTATCTGTGTGACTAAATAATAAATCACAAAACGTTGCGCTTTGAGCTTTCAAAATGAACGGTTCCTTCACATGAGGGATGACTCATGAGACATCTCAGCTCCTGCTCCAAACAAACATCAGGATTGCCTCCCAGATACTCGACAAAGAATGAGCAACAACACATGCTCTGTTTAAACTGAGCAGATACCGCTACATCTTTAACCTTTCTCAAGAAGCAGCCATCGGAACAAGCCTTACTCTAAATTAAACATAAGGAAAAGCTAAGGAACCTCAGGATTATACTTCTGGGTTAAAGCAGGTTTTACTTTCATTGTCTGTTTGGTTCTGGACAGGTAATGATAAACGTAATCTATTCTTTATGTGTCATAAACATTGAGAACTCTGAAACCGAAGACGGAGAAGTGAGAAGCTGTCGAAAAGGAAACTATAGCTGTGGTTTTGTGTTGTCACACATCTATGTTTAACAGGACTATTGGCTTCATTAAAGAGCAGAGAGGGTTTTTGAGTCATGCACAACAGAGAAAGAGGTGGGGGGAATCTTAATGTGGAACACTAACTGGGATGATGGTACATGAATATTTAAATCATCTGTGGAAAGTAAATAAATATACAAATGGAGACACATCTGCTGATCATTTAAGCTGCAAGAGAGAGCCAACCTGAGAGGATGAAAAATGTTGCTTTTGTTCATTTTTCCTAAGTTTTAACCCTGTTAGGTTGTAGGAACATCAGCTTTTATGGTAGGTATCAACTTTCCACATGCTTTATATCCTAAAAGCTATTATATGACTCTAAAGACCAGTTAAAATGTTAGTGTTATATTAATCATGCCTTTTCTTTTAAGTTAAACTTCCAATGCTGTTTAATACAGTTTTCAAAGAGGAATCAGATTCAGTTTAAATGCAGCAGATTAAAGCTTAAGACAAAGATAAGAAAATGATCTCTAAACAACTTACTTTGATTAACTTATTTGTTCTTATCTTCCAAGGTTACATAGTCATATTTTTATGTTTATGCATTTAGCAGACACTTTTATCCAAAGCGACTTACAGTAACCATCAATAAGTAAGTTTTCTAGTCAGATTCAGTGGTGACAGCAAAAAGATAGAGGGACTAACAGAAAGAGTAGTAGAGGGGTACAGAGCTATGATGACTTAGTGTAGCATTGGAAGTCAATGAAAACAGCTTTTCTGTTTGGACTTATTCAAGGTACAAGATCATGCAACGGCTGAGAATCGAACCCAGATCAACTGCTTGGAAGGCGGCTATGCTCACCACTGGCAGCATGTTTCTGTAGCTGGTAAACATTTCCTCAAAGTGCTGAAAAACTACTTACTTTCCTTTTTCAACAAAACCATCAACATACAAAGTGTCAAATAATATTACTAGGATACCAGTCAATAATCCATTGTATGTTCATTATTCAAAGTGAATTGACAGCTTATATTAGTCCAGTTTCTATTAATTAACTATTGTCTCCCTGTTTGATCCATGAGCACATCAATAAAAACAAATTCAATTTGTCAATGTGACTGAAAGCATATATTTTTAAAGCTAAGTTATAAGAATCACTCACTTTAACATGTTTTTTTTTATTGCAGTGTTATGCCAATATGCCATGATCATACTTTTTGGACATTGGGAAGCAGTGTCCATATTTCATCCTGATAGGATGACCAGAGAAGAAAACGCAGCTTTGGTGAATAACAGCTGGGGGACTTCTGCAGCCCCCCTTTTTCAGCCAAAGCAGCCACAAGCAGTCACATGGAAGTCACAGAGGTGTGAAAACCTACCCCCCTCCCTGTGAGAACAGAACAAAACCACAGAGCACACAGGATTCTTTCTCTTTTGCTCTTCACCTTTTTCTCCCTCGTCTGATCCAGCCTGCTTCTGCTCCAGCTCTCAAAGCTGGGGCCCACTGTGGCCCACAGTGGAGATGCAGGCCCCAGGGAAACCAGATCCCCAGAACCATCAAGGATGAGTCAGAACTCTTCAGAACCTAACTGCTGCAAACAGAACCTTTGCAACACATTTCTCTTGAGTTTCAGAACTTACAGAGCCAAACTGGATGAAGACCATGCCCTGGTGTGAGACTGAGAGGACCCCTGCTGTGAGACTGAGACAAAGGAACCCCTGACTGCAGAGCTGCAAAACTGGATAAAACTCAAGCTTTCCAAACGGACATGGAAAAAGGTTTGCAGGTCTGGCATGATTAGGGACAGAACAAGCAATGTGTGTTTTGATGATGCTAATCATATCGTGTGTTTACTGCTGAGTAAAGACAACGCTAATTGATGCTAAAGAATGGACTGCATGCTACGCTATGCTACAGGAATATATGTTGAGCTGTTGTTAAAGCTTAGACAAGCTTTATTCACTAAGGATTTAAACACTGATATAACATTAGTGTTCATGTGCTCCTCAAATGCTCATTACATTTCCATTACCAAGTATGACCAAGAGTCATTTAGTGGAATCCTGATGTCTATTCACTGCTAGCTATTTCAAAGAGGGTAAAGAATCATTTAACTAAAGGTTTTTGGTTCTTGATTAAGCAAATCATTTAATAAAACATTATTTGGCCAAATAATGTTTTATTCACCTCATGGATTTGCATTGTCAATTGGTCTGAAAACATTCCAATTTCTTTAAAATTAGTGAAAAGCTAATTTGATCATATCCCAAATTCTTCCAGATAAACTTTGGTTTCAAACACAGAATCCATCTTGAACTGTAATATGTTTTTCAACCGTTTTCCCCTTCCTCTTTGTACATAGTAGTTAGTTTAGTTTAGTTGAGTTTTACTAGTCTTAGTTGAGAGTGTTAAACTGAAATATGTTTGACTTGGAGCTGAATGATTTTTGTTAATAAACTCATATTTTGAACAGAAGTTGTGGTGAATTTATTCCATGTATGTGCAGAAATAACTGTTTGACCATGATTAGAGCTCGAATCACTCTTTCATCTATTGTTCTAACACACAGTTAGTAGGACTGTGTGTCATAAACAGTATATAACAGCTGAAATACTACCTGATTAAATAAGATATTTTACCACCCCTACAGGGGAGGGCAATAAATATCTTAAAGTATCAGAAACATAAATTCCCAGCGGGCTGGGAATAGAATTTAACTATAGAATCACAACAGCAGTATTCAGGTTTATGGAGCTTAGGCAAAAAAAGTGAAAAGATTTTGGTTTTGTGCAATATCAATTGTATTGAAGTCTTCATATATCTATCTATCTATCTATCTATCATCTATCTATCATCTATCTATCTATCTATCTACTGTATCTATCTATCATCTATCTATCTATCTATCATCTATCTATCTATCTATCTATCATCTATCTATCTATCTACCTAGATTTAGAAATATATCAGTGGTGCAACTAATGATTATTTTGCTAATTGTTTAACCCAACGATAATTGTTTTGATTAATGGATTAACAATCGGCTAGCTAAAGGCTCCTTACTGAAGATTTATTATAAAACACAGACCAGGTAAAAATAAAACTATTCCACTTGAGGAGCACTGGATAGAACAAACTCATGGACAAACAAGGTTTTGTTTATTTTAAATGCAAAATGTTCATATGTTTCTTTTTTACAATGGAGGCTGTTCTGTCAGTTACAGGCATGTTTAAGTGTCTTTGTACGGCAATCAACAATTTATTAACTAATAAATTTAGGATAATCTCAATATTTGATTAATCATGATTTATTGCTTCAGCGCTAATATACACACGTATCTCTCGTTGCCAAAATAGACTCCTCCAATGAAATCCTCCCCATAACACTGTTGAATTACTGAGGCCAGTAATGGACTTGGTAGGTGTTTTGTAATTTCAAAGTTGTAGGTTCAATTTCAGCTTCAGCATTAACATTAAGCTGGTTGTAGCTCAGTGAGCCTGTGTGCGGTTAGATGAATGTGGATCTAGTGTAAATTTGAATAGTCAGCACTAGAAGAGTGCGATCTTAACTCTGTCCATTTAACAATTATCAGTTTTATTCATAGGTTTATTGCAGCACTCTGATTAGTCATCTTTTCTTATATCACGCATCCCTATTTTCAGTTAGTTATTTCATGCAGGTTTCAGCGGAACAATATATCATCTTAACCCATGATGAAGTGAAAACCTCCATGACAAACTGTCGGTACCATGTTTCCATCCATCTCTCTTATACCTGATGATCTGTTTAGGTATAGACGAGCGGCGTCTGGACAGTATTTTAGGGACACAGGAGCGTCTTCGGATGGTCGACGCCCTCCTGGCACATCTCTGGCCTTTTGGAGGGACTGTGTTGAGGCGGTCAAAGTGAACCCTTTTCTCACTTCGCACAACAGGGGATAGGTTGGCAGCAAGGCAGGGTGGAAAAGAAGGTATCAAATAAGGTGAAATTAAAGGGAGGAAAAAATAGAAAGATTTTTTAGATGCAAAAGTAAAGGAAAAAGATGCTGGAATTTTTTTTGCAAAGACATGAAAGATATATTAAAACATGCAGGAGTGGAGAGAACATAACAAAAGGGGGATTAAGCTGATAACCTTTCATGGAGATGTGTCAGTTTGTTTGTGTCGAACCTCTTGATGGACTGCATGAAGGCCGCCCTCTCCACAGGGGGTTTGAGGTAGTTGTTGGAAGTTTCCAAGGCAGCAATATGTGTGTGTGGATTTTCTCCTGGCATGCTCACACTGCGGACTCGCTTCACAGGCTACAAAAAACCCACAAAGGATGAAATCAATCATCACCTGAATCACCACTGAATACATCGCTACTTCCCTTCTTATGTCTCACCTGAGCGATCTGCGGCGTGTCATCCGGCGTCAGCTGGATAGTCGGGATGTCCAGTTTGAGCCATGGTGGCTTCTTCCTCTGGAAGCTGTTGCCCCTGCTTCCCGCCT